GAAGTTACTACCACTGATGTGACTGACTGTTACCGATGATAAGACATTTACTGATGAAGCAGATGAATCCCACATGAAGCAGAAGCCAACGAGACGGAGACCAGTACGGAAGAAGATACGTCCCGTGAAATTAAGAGACTTTGTTGAATTGTAATTTTGTGTTTGTAATTCTGTACATTTAATCAAGTTATTGTTTATTGGTTTAATGTAAGTGGCTATTGTTCGGGACGAACAATACTAAGGAAGGGACAGTGTTACGACAGTGGAAGTCACGTGACGCTTGTAACACGTCATGAGCTTCTAGAAGCCTCGAGTGTTTACTAGATATGCGGTATTCTTGTATATAAGACCGCCAAGAAGTGTCTATAATAATGGAATTGAATTGCAGACAGAGATAGAGACGGACAATTGAGTCGAGCGCGTGAATTATAGCGTTTGTTTAAGTTATAGCGTGACTGTGGAAATTAAGTGTATTGCAAAGTTGTATTAAGAAAGAATAAAATAGTTTTATTTAAGAAAGGACTTGTATCGCTAAAGTTTCTTCGGAAAGAATTTTTACGGAAAATTAACAAACGAACAGAGGCGTAACAGTACTTTTAACTTTACAGGGTAGTAAGTAACAGAGTCCCAGTCTTTGAAGTAGCATTCACATGGACCTAATCTCTCTTAACTGTTCATCTCTAATTATAATTAAAGATATTATGTCATTTGTCAGACAGTTATAGGAGACATAGGCTCCTGGCAGTGTTTTGGGTACTGTCCAGTAGTATTTTAATGAATTGAGAGACTTGTCACAATAAATTGAGGATATTTTGTAACTCTGTATGGGAGTTTAGTTTAAACAAGGGTGGTCATTTTTTGACATTTATTTTCTCTCTAAGATTGCCTGGTTAGCAGGAAACCTTTAATGAAATATCAAGATAAATGCATGATGGGAAAGTAACTGTTGGATTCTTTCAACAGTGGGTTTAATCACTGTATCTGAGATGTTGCCATTGTTACTTTGAACTTTTTTGCTATTCTTTTTGAATGATATGATGTTTTTGGCTCCATGCTGACATATGGTAGTCACAATAATCATGTAGCACAGCCCAAAGGGAAAGCTTTTATTGTTTAATTTTAATTAATTTTAATTTTATTAATTCACAAATAAATGTTAACATCTGAAAGTATACTGAATGGATTAAATTGTAAATAAACTGTAGACTATGAAAAGGCATATGATTGAATTTGACACAATGGCTTAATTTGCCTTTCAAGCCTAACTAGGTGAATAATTAGTTCATTTCAAGCCGAAATATTTAGTTAAGATAAACAACAGTATGTATGGTGATTTTATATATGAAGTTGGTGTCTCTTAAGATATTATTATTCCTTTATTTTCCTACAATACACTAATAACATACATTATTCATGTAACAACACTACTCCTAGTAATATTGCCCACTATGCTGATGATATAGCAAACTGGATATCTTCTAAAAATTCATTAGTTGTGTGAGCCTTAAAATTAACTTTAATAGCTTTGGCCATATCATGTAGTTTATGGACACTTCTAACTCATCCTTAAAAATATCAATTGATAATTTTTGGGGGTATTTGTATTTGGCAAAGCTTTTTTTTTTCTTTTCAGAAAAAGCACTAGTTAATTAATAACTATATAGCTCAAGATAGTAAATTCCAATAAATATTTGGGTATTATCTTTGACAGAACACTTAACTAGAAAGATATCAATTACTTAATTAGAAATGCATAAACCAGAGTTCATATATTAAGGACAACTGTAAGATCAAAGGAATAACACGCATACAATATGATTCAATACACTAGACAGAAATCATTCATCCAAATATCTTAATTGATAGTGTGATGGCAAAGTATAATTATTCCATGTCTGCCATTAACCTTCCCATAAGTTATCTGGTAAAATAAGCAAATTTATAAGTATTTAGTTACCTTACTAAGGAGGTTTGCTATAGACCCTTTACTCCATAGCTACTGTTGATGCCAATCTACTTTTCCTGTTGGTGGTAATTGGAGTCATCACAATAGTCATGAAAGTTTCTAAAATGGAATAGTTGTTGTATTACTGGTGGTTAAATTAGGCTTTTTAGTAGATTTCCTGATGGCACAGCAATTGAATTTAACTTTTAAGTTTATATTGACGGTTATTATTCTTTACAGTGATTATCACTATACCAATAGAAATCTGAAGTTAAGTCATTCTTCTGCACCAAAGTGGTAACTGTAGCTCACTTGATCAGACTTGTAACACTTAATTCAAAGAATGATCAGCATATACCTACATTACTAAACAACTTTTCTCACTCCTTTAAAACAAGGATGAGTTCTACAAATGAATTTAGAAAGAAAAAAAAAGTTACTGACCAGTCCTTCGTTTCATTTGGTTATTGTTGTTAAAGTTCAAGCCGCCCATAATTCAAAAACTGCATGCTCTCTCATTGGTATCCAAACTAATGTCTTCAGTGGCCCATAGTTTAAACTAGAGAATAAACAAAAATGCTACATACAGATGCTTCATGGTCACTTAGTCGGGAATATTTTACAAAAGGCATCAAATTCTAATGCTAACTGTTTTATTACTTCTATAGGAGACGTCAATGTGAATTCTGTGCAAGTCACAGCTATAGTCAAGAAAGGAAACGAGTGCAACCCAACTAAGTCTCAAACAAAGAACGGAGGAGACGAAACTCAATTTTGCCTAACTAGTGATAATCCTAGAACCGACTGTCAGGTAAAACATGTATAATTAAAAATAAATTCACTCCAATTACGTCTTATTATATTTAAATAGCTACTTGTCTGTGGACTTATCTAACAATGATTCACAAGTTTAGCTAATAAAAAGTTTTATTATTGTCGTAATGCTAAACGAACAAAAGTCCTTTCATTAATGTTTTTATTACAATAGATTTGCTGCAGCGCGTTGTTAGCAATATTCAAATGCAAAATATATCTCCTTGTATTAGCATACACTATATGTTATTATAAATCAGATATTTTTAGTAAATTGGAGCATCCAGACTTTCTCTTACGAAGTTTAGTCAAATATTGAAGAATGTAAAATATTTTTCAGTTTAAGATATGCATAAGATAATCCTGTCAAAATATATTACACAGTTACCATATCACAGTAATATACTTGTTAGTTATGCATTGCTTCTACTACTTTCTCCTTTTCAAATTATATGAAAAATCAGCTGTTTAAAAACTATTATAATACAAATGTTACAAGTACTTTAAAACAATGAAATCAGTCAAATGCATATCATACAGGTACTGAGTACGTTTATCTTTGCCACAGATTGGGAACCTCCCAGGGGAAGGTTCTGTCTGCACATAGGCCTGACATGGCCAGGTGGTTAGGGCGCTCGATTCACAATCTGAGGGTCACGGGTTCGAATCCCCGTCACACCAAACATGCTCGTCCTTTCCGCCGTGGGGACATTATACTGTGACAGTCAATCCCAATATTCATTGGTAAAAGGGTAGCCCAAGAGTTTGCAGTGGATGGATAAATAGTTGCCTTCTCTCTAGTCTTTCACTGCTAAATTAGGGACAGCTAGTGCAGACAGCTCTCGTGCAGCATTGCACAAAATTCTAAACAAACCAAAACTAAACCAGTTTACCTTTTCTGGAATCCAAACATACACCCACGTGTTTGCCGTGCATAGCGACCTGTGAAGAGGAAGAAAGGATCCAGGGGGATGAGTGATGTCAATGATACTGCAACACACCACTTTGGCCTTGAATTCATGTAGACTGATGATCTTGGGATGCCCCCTCCTTCCAGTGTCAAATGACTGGTCCTATTTGGTTAGGGACAACTGAATGCCAGTTATGAACATCCTTAGTGGATGTTGTGGACATTTTGTCTGGTGTTGGTGTTTAGGTATAGTACCCACGTTACCTTGACATTGCTCCACTGTCCTAGTTTGATAATGTGGTGTATCCCCTTGTTGGAATCCATTATGGATTGGTTTATTGGGTATACCAAGATTATTTCTAATTATAGATTCAGTGCTCTGACTAGCTGTATCTGTAAAGTTTTGGAAAGGATATTTAATGATTGTATTGCATGGTTCCTGGAATCAAACAACCTGTTTACACCCACCCAATGTGATTTCCACAGACAGTGATTCATCATGGACAACCTGATTCACTTTGAAATATCAATGGTAGAAGCCATTCTCAAAAAGAATCATCTTATTCAGACCTTTTTTTATCTCCAGAAGCTTGTGACACTGTAGAACCTCCATTCCTATTGATTATGTCGCCATTTACCCATTTTTTTTATTTGTAACTTTTTAACTGACAGGTCACTCCTAGTCTGTCTGAGATCAATGTTATCCCAATCCTTTACACAAGAATTTGGAGTCCCTCAGTGATGTATCTTGGGTCTCACAATTTTCAGCATTAAAATCTATGCTCTTGCTGAACAACTTACTCCTGCTGTTGCAAACAGCCTCTGCATTGATTACTTTCTGATTTCCTGTCAGTCATCAAATGTGAGGCTCACTGAGTGGCAGCTTCAGACTGTCTTACTTAACATTGGTGCGGACCACAGTTAAGTTTCATATTATCGTCATTTCTGTGTATTTTTACTACCAGTTGGAGGGTTGTACTCTGATCCATGAGTGATGGTATTATTAGCATGGTGGCTGAGATGACATTCTTAGGATTTATCTTTGACCATAAGTTAACATTTAATCCACACGTTAAGCAGCGCATGTATACAAAAGGATTGATCATCTCCTACACCCCCTCTTCTATTTCATGGGTAGTGGTTGGGTGTTTTATACTGAAGATCTATCGTGTCATCATTCATTTGAAGTTGGACTATGGATCTCAGTCTACTGTTCAGACAGACTCTGCCTTGAAGTTTTCAATCCTGTACATCATTAAGGCTTTGACTCTGTAAAGGCCCTTTCTGTACTTTTTTGGTTCAAAGTTTGTACACTAAATCCTATTAACTTCCACTTCACTTCAGACGTTTACATTTTCTTTGCAGTTTACTGCAAATCTCTTATCCTTACCTCGGCATCTCATCTAGCATTGTGTCTTAATGTCTCAGTAGGTTGCTATTCCTACATTTGGCCTTTGTTCACAGGCACAATTGACTGAAAGGGGTCTAACATTGGATAATATTGCTGAATCTGATTACACAAGCCTGCGATGGTTTTATTGTCATTATTTTTATGTTCTTCAGTAATTCATGCACGCTGAATCCGAACATGACATCCATTTTTCTCCATCATGTTCAGATTTTTCACAAAACGTCATAAAGCAATACATAAGAGAAACCACAACACGTAGTTTTGAGAATGAAAGACTTAGATTTCACCCCCCCCCCAAAAAAAATACAGGGTAAATGAGGATGCATATTCGTTTGACATCAATGTTCTTCCCTTTTCTTCAGTTTGCTTATATTTTTGTTAAACATAATTATTAAAAAAAAAGTTCATTGTGGTAAACAAAATAATAATTTGATCTAGTTAAGTTGTTTTTTCTTCCCGATTTGTAAAAAAAAAAAAAAAAAAAATAAGCTTACGTGACAGAAAAAAAAAGAATATTATTTTGAAATCTGCACAGCTGAATTATGGAAAATACCGTTATTAAAACCAAAACAACTTAATTTAAATTCGCAGGCCTGTGTTATCAGCCCATCCTGCCATATTGTATGTTTAGAAATGAGTAGCCCACTTCTCTATATCGTCCATCTTCCTTCAGTTTTTCTGGATTCGCAGCAAAGTTGGTTTTCGTGAGAATGAAATATCTGACGCCTCAGTTAAGTCCAACTACACTGTTATTCCTGCATATCTCTTATGTGGGCTTCTGGCTTTTCATCAAATCAACGCAGTCACTTTGTGGTGAGGAACATCATTACAAGCTTTTCCATATAAAACCTGTTGTTGTTTGGCCATCTAGTTTATGTAGAAATCAGAGAAAAAAAATTGTCTAGGCTCCGCATTGCTCAGTTTCCATACTCGCCGATTTATTTTGTAAGGGACTGGCATGCTTGTAACATATTGCCCACATTGTACTTTTGAGCTGTCATTATAATTACCACCAGAAGCGTCGTTTTAGATATGTTTATTTCAGGATTTACCTTTGACGTTGGACAGTGTTATTAACGACGATGACACTGCCCAGATTGATGGTGTTTTTAACTTTTTCGTTATATCGGCCTCCTTAGTTTTAATTAATTCTTAACATAATTTACAAGCAATATACAATTTTGGCATGCTTTTGTCTTTTTTTTTATATATACCATACTTTACTTTCGCTTTATCAATTTGTTTTTTTTAACAGATAATACTGGTTATTTGGCGTCGTTGCGTCGAGCCATTAAACTACAAACAACTAGCTTACCTTAGCGAGTTCTTCTATTAAGTTTGATAAAATCCCTGCTCCTAGGAAATGTTAAGTTTGAAAAATGATATTGTTGTGACATGTTCTTGTTTGATGGGTTAGTTTGGATTTTTTTGGTAAAGTCCAAACCACATGACAGTTACGAATTAAGATGTTTTTTTCAATAATGTTTGCTACAGGCTGTGCTAAATTTGACACATGTAGCAGTTTTAACATAATAAAAACGTTTTAACAAATATTCCAAGACTAATAGTATGTCTAACTCAAATGGAAACTGTTTCCTCTAATAATTCGAGTAACAGAAGAAACACAATAACCCTCACTACTAATACTGAATTGAATCACTCATAATGCTTAATAACTCGTGACCTAACTAGCTGATTCTCATATTTATATTTACTTGTATTTCTACATACTTAACGAAAGTTTTAGACAATTACATCATCATCATTATTAGCTTCCCTTAGCAACTGTATCTAAATTGAGATATTAAAAGTACATCTTACAACAATACCTATTCTAATGCTTAGAAATGTTAAATGCCAAGAAAAATAGTCAGCTGTAGATCACAGGCACACCTCAGGCTTATTCCTACCTTTAGGTTATCAAAGTTCCTTAATAATTCAGAAATAATGAGATTTTGACTCGTGTCATGATCTATACCTCTGTATTTACGGTGTCTATCTCGGCTTAACATTAGTTTACATTCATAAATACCAGCCTTAACTTGCCTGATTAAAAGATATCTTATTCTTATCATGTCCTCCTATCCCTATATGGTTTCCATCTAGTGATGCGCACAGCTAATTGCGTGTTCTTTGGCTACAACAAGGTCTTCTGCTGTGCAGGGAACATGGAGTTATGGGCAGACTAGCAGATGTTGTATCATTTACCTCTTACTGCAGTTGCAGGCAGTGGGTCCGCTAGAGTACCCTATTTCACCATGTTGCTCCTAGCCCTGCTGGCCTGGGAATGTAGACTTCCCCCTGGATAGATGCTCAGCTGATGTGATGCCCAAGCTTGTGTGTGTGGAAGCTTTTGGAGGTGGAATCTTCATAATTCTTTTTCACACGTGGTCTCTGGTATAGCGTCCAGTGGTTCACTTGAATAGCAGAAAATAGTGCGTGTTATCGGTTGCATCTTTACTTCCACATGGCCGTGTAGGAGTCTACTGCCTTGGGTCTGCTGAATTTGCACTGCTGGCGATTGCTCTCTGATGTCTGGTAGGGCGATTCCAGCCAGCACTTGCAGGCTGTTTGTGTTGGTTAGCTTTAGGCAGCTTGTGATTATTCGGCAGATTTCGTTGAAAAGAGAGATATTTCACATTTTATGCAGCTTGCATCCTAGAATAATAAATTATTTAACCATTTTGGCTAAGAATGTTTGATATAACTCCGTTTTCTTTTAGTTGACACTTGCACACTTATACTGTTGCAACATTGTTCTTTCATTGAGCGGTTTTAAAGTTATATTTCGTGAAAGTAATTCTTAGTCCAGTCCACGTAACGATAATAAATTAAGTTATTTTTTTCCTTAACGTTTCTACAAGCTTCTACACTTTTCTATAATTTTAGGCCTAAATTTACTAATGACGGACAAACAGAAATACTTCGCTAACGCTACTAAAACTAATGAAAAAATGAAGTTATTTATACAATTACATTGTGACAAACTGAAGAAATCAGCATCAAAAGAATATGTGGCCATGGTGGCCAAAGAATCATTTAAGGAAGGCAAGAATAAGGGGTGCAGTGAGGACACAGAAATGGAGCTGTGAATAAATGAGTAAAGCTCCCGGTTTTCTCCGATAAAAAGAATATACAAAATTTCCTGGTAATAAGTCGGTGGTTTTTGTTGTTGTTGTTGTTGTTTTTTGTAATTAAACGTTAAAATTGTGTTCCTTCCAGCCACGTTACATACATATGTAGGTTAATTTAATGTTTTTATTCACATATGTACTATTTTTAAGGAATTCGGATTTTACCACACGACCAACTCATAAAAGAAATTTAAATAAATCAATAAACCCATTTTACATTGTATTCTAACCAAACATAACAAGAAAATAGCTTGTTTTTAGTTCTCTTTGTAATTGTTCTTTTCCAAACGTCATATTTTCGCGCGCGCGCACACACACACAAAGCGATAAGTCTGGGGGCTAACCCCTATAAAATGGTGGACACAGCACAGTTAGTGCATTGTGTAACTTTGCGCTTAACAACAAACAAACAAACTACAAGCAGTTTACTAAGATATATTTATGTAAAACTAAAGTGTGTGCTGTAATAAAGCACACAAGAATGGTAATAATTTGCATATTGCAGAATTCAAAATGGTGCTTACACAAGAACACTTCAAATGAATTAGATCACCGTAGTTCTTTATTTCCGCAGATTCTTCATTATTCCTTGATAATGAGTATAGATGCCACAACTTTAACGTGGGACAGTGTGCATTCAAATGCTAGAGCCAATTTTTATTCTCAGTCCATCACTACATGTAGGCTTAGTGAATATTGTATATATATGTTTGTCTGATTACTTAACCGTTTAAACTCGGTTTTTGAAAGGTCTACCAGAACTCCAGTACTACGTTTCATCAAATTGGGTATCAGTTGCTCAAACACACCTATGTATTAATGTTGTCCTAAACTCCTTCTTAGCTTTTACATCACTTAATATTTTCATTTTACAAGTCTCTTTAGAAGGAGGTCACATTCCCATTCAACCATAAAAGGGTTATTGCACTGTTAAATATTATATTGTTGCGTCAGCGAGTCACATGACTACAGTGACGCAACGTTTCTAGAATTATCATGTACTTTGGCGAATGCTCTAG